AGTGGGATCAACAAACCCTTTTGTCTATTCAACATATACCTCTTCTTGTAAGAACCCACTCAAGAAGGCATTTTTCACATCCATTTGAAACAGCTTGAATCTCAGCAAACATGCCAATCCTAGTAATAGTCTTATGGATTCAAGACGAGTAGCTGGAGCAAAGGTCTCATCAAAATCAATACCCTCGATTTGAGTGTACCCTTGAGCCACAAATCTGGCCTTATTTCTAGTAACCACTCCATTTTCATCAGATTTATTCTTATAAACCCGCTTTGTACCAATGATATTTGTTCCCTCAGGTCTAGGAACCAAATCCCAAACTCCATTCCCCTTGAACTCCTCCAATTCTTCTTGCATGGAATTAATCCAAAATTCATCAGTTAGAGCCTCTTTCACATTTTTTGGTTCAATCTTAGAGACAAAACAAGCATTGGATACCACTTCCCTTGATCCAGTAACAATTCCTTCATTAGGATTTCCTATTACGAGTTCCTTAGGATGATCCTTCTGAATTCCAATAGAGGGCCCTTTATTTGACTGATTTCCATTATCTCCTACAACAACATGTTCATTGTTGTTGTTATTATCAACACCATTATCTGCAGTAGCAGTCACCTATGGTGATGTTTCAACATCATCTTCGATATCTGCCTGCTTCTCTATAGTTGAGAAATATATCACAACATTAATATACTTCATCATTACCTTGGTTCTAGTATTGAACACTCTATAGGCTCTGCTATTTATGGAGTAGCCTAAGAATATCCCTTCATCACTTTTGGGATCCATCTTCCTCTTTTGTTCACAATCAGCCATAATATAACATTTGCTCCCAAAAACATGGAAGTACTTGACAATAAGCTTTCTTCCCTTCCACAATTCATAAAGAGTAGTTGAGTACGAGTTCTCAAGGTAACCCTATTATGAATATAACATGCAATATTCATTGCTTCAACCCAAAAATGATAAGGCAGATGTTTAACATGAAGCATGACTCTTTCAGACTCTTGAAGATTTCTATTTTTTGTTCAACCACTCCATTTTGCTGAGAAGTGACGAGATAAGAAAATTCATGGCTAATACCTTCCGAGGAACAGAATTCAGCAAACTTGTTATTCTCAAACTCTTTTCCACGATCACTCATAATTCTTACAATTTTGTTTTCCTTTTCTCTTTGAAGCCTTTGACATAATTCCTCAAAAATATTAAACACATCCAATTTTTCTTTGATAAAGTGAACCCAGGTGAATCTTGAAAAATCATCAACCACTACATAGGCACACCTCTTACCCCCAAGGATTTTAACTTGCATAGGATCCATCAAATCCATGTGAAAAGTTCCAACACTTTTGAAGTAGCCAGATGTTGGACCTTTGGATGGGACATCTTGGTTTGCTTTTCAATTTGACATTCACTACAAATTCTTCCTTCTTATATCCTAAGCTTGGGAATTCCCCTGATAGCTTCTATAGACACAATCTTCTTCATACCTTTCAGATGTAAATGACCAAGCTTTTGGTGCCACAGTTGAACTTTATCTTCTCTAGACATCAAACATGTAGGAGAGTATTTTATTGATTGAGGTTTCCATAAGTAATAGTTATCCTTAGATATGACTCCCCTCATCAAAACTTCATCCTTCTCATTTGTCACCACACATTCAGACTTAGTGAAATTGACTTTCAACCCTTGATCATACAACTGACTTATGCTTATCAAGTTGGCAGTCAATCCTTTTACCAGTAGCACATTCTCAAGACTATGGAATTCTGAACAGGCTAGTCTTCCCACCCCTTTAATCTTTCTCTTGGCACCATCCCCAAAGGTAACATAGCTATTAGAGTGTGACCTAATGTTGACCAGGAAGTCCTCAACACTAGTCATATGTCTAGAATACCCACTATCAAAATATCAGTCTTTTCCAGCTGAAGCTCTAAGAGAAGTATGAACAATAAGTGAAGTAATAGCTTCTTTGGGAACCCATTTCTTTGTAATCTTAATCACTTCATGATTAACTTGGGCTGTATAAAAGACCTTGGATATCCATACAGTCTGAAACAATAAGGCTTGATATGCCTAAATCTACCACAATAATGACATCTTCAATGCAACGCCTTACTTCCTGCTTGATACTTCTGATGTCTGGTACGATGTTGAAACATTTGTTTTGACATCATTGACTCTTGCTTCTTTCTAAAAGGAAAAAAGTTTGTAACCTTAGGATCTCCTTTTAAAATTTGATTATCAAACCCTATGCCTTTAAGTCACCAGCCATATGGATGTTGGACAAATGTTCTTCCTTCTCACTCTAAATCAGAGATATGATCTCTTGTTGCTTGTCACTTCTAATACATAAATCTTTGTAAGAAGCAGCCAATTTAGTATAGGAGTTTTCTTCATCATAGGAATCTGCATCAGATGCCCATCTTCTAGTTAGAGCAGTAACATGTTTGGCATATTCATCCTCAATTCCACTTTCATCATTAGACTAAGAAATAGTCAGCCCTTTATGTTATTTCTTGAGGTAGGTAGGGCATTCTGCTCTAATGTGTCAAAATCCATCACATTCATGACATTGAACCCCTTTATTCCGATTGGACTTTTCTTCTATTCTTGCTTTTCTTTGAGAGTCATAGTTTTTGCCAATGTCAGGACTAATATTCTGGGCATTAGGTATTGACTTCCTCTTCATTCTCTTTAGCACTTGGTTGAATTGTCTTCTAAGTAAAATAATAGGATTTGACATGCCTTCATCAGTGTCCAAATCACATTCTTCCACTCCATCTTTTGTGTTGGAAACAAAAGCTATGCTTTTAATCTTCTTTTCAGTTTTGTCATTAATGGTCATTCAAAAGTTTAAAGTGACCCCCACAAGTTCATCAACTCTCATACTGCTAATGTTTTTGATTTCTTTTATGGCTATTACCTTCATATCAAATCTCTTGGGAAGAGACATGATAATCTTCCTAACTAGTTTTTCTTCTGATATTTTCTCTCATAGAGCATTAAATGCATTAGTTATTTCAAGAACATTCATGTGAAAGACATGGATACTCTCACCCTCCATCATCTTTAAATTTTCAAATTTGGTAGTGAGCAACTGAAGTCTAGACATCTTCACCTTATATGTACCTTCACTAGTTGTCCTGAGAATTTCCCAAGCATCCTTGACTACAGTGCATGTGTTAATTAACCTAAACATGTTTTTGTCAACTCCATTGAATATGGCATTCAAGGCTTTGGAGTTTCCAAGGGCAGTCTCATCTTCTTCCTTGGTCCAATCCTCTTCAGGCTTCAGAGTTTCCTTCCCATCTTTATCTTTAATCGATTTTCTGCCACATGTTCCAACATCATGCTGAACATGCTGTTTGATTGACTTGTCAAGACATTTGTCTCAACATCTTACTGTGAACTTGTTTTAACAAAATTGTTGCCAAACTAAAATCATAGAACTTACAAACATGTTGTTTTAAGTCAAGTTTAATCTTAGAAATACGAGTTGAACATTCAACCAAACCAAAAGATTATTGATTGAGTTGGATATTAAATTTTATCAAATTTAATTCAACCCAATCTACAAACATTCACTCTTACTGATTAGTCGGTTATTTGTGGATTGAAACACAAAAATATATAATTCGTCCATATGTTTAGATTTGAAATGAAATAAAATAATATTTAAAAGCAAATTTTATTATTTGAATTTGTAAAAAAGGTATGAAGTTGAAACACGATGCTCCATCATATTACATATAATATTTTAATTTTCATTCCATCAAATTTAAGCGTATCCAATGAAATAAACTAATTTATTATATTCACTATCTCAAATTATAAAAAATATATAAACAATAAAATGAAATCTCAGATCCATTTCATTATACTCTACTCAATTTTATCCTATTTTATTCCTTTTACTAATTTATCAATCAAAACATTGCTTATGAGAAGAACACTTGTCAAATGTTTTGGTGGAGGTTTTACTTTGATTATTTGAACTTGATCCAACTCATATTAAACTTTTTTTTTCATGTTCTTGGAGTTTCTATCATTTGGTTATATTGTAATATTACTATTATGGTTTTTGATCTTCTTTATAATCATTTTTTTTGTTGAGAAAAATGGTGTTTGTGTTTTGACATCAAGTATTATTATACCACCCTACCGAACACTTCTTCTTTTACCGTTTTATTTTTTATTTTTGAAAATCTACTCATTTATTCTCATCATTAAATCTTAAATCTAATATAAATGGTTAATTTTCTTGTCTAAATTATTAAAGTTATCACACAATTTGTTGTTCTAAATAATGGGTATAGATTTCTTTTTGAAAGCTATACATAAGTATTTGGGAGTTTCATTTTATTTTTTCTAAAATATTTGGAAGAGGCGATAAAATAAATCCATGAAAAAATCCAAATTCAACACCCTATATAAAAAAATATTATTATTATTATTTTTAAAAAAATTTCTTCTCCTAATTGTTACCAGAAATAAATAATTGAATTAATTTCAAAAATACAATTTTATTTCAAAATTTAAATAAACTCAACATAAATTAAATTTCAACAAAAGTAACATAAAATTTCCTAATTCCATAAAAAAAATCTAAATAAAAAAACATTTTACTAATTAGTTTTTTTTTTAAAATTTTTAAACTGAGTATCATTTTATAGATAATTCTAAGATTTGTTTTTAATTTTACTAAATTTAAGATTTATTTTATTTCCAGAAGATTTATTTTGGATTGCCAAAATATTCTCGAAGCAATTATAAATAATATTATCCGCAGTGTCTATGCTGCTTCTGTTTCTTCTTCTTCTCACCTCGCCTTCGTTTCTCTCGTTCTCTTTAAAGCCCCTCTTCCGTTCCATTCAACTCTAGGGTTAGGGTTTTTCTTCTCTCTCTACCCCAATTTCTATTTTCTCTCTCTTGGGTTTCTTTTTCTTTCGAGTTCATTCCCCTCTTTGGATCTCGATCTACTTCTTTCTGTTACTGTAATGGATAGCCGCAAGCGAGGGAGGTTCGATGCCGGCGTTAACGGCTCCGCTAAGAAGACCAAACAAGGTAGTTTCTCAGCTCCCAATTTATTTTCATTACAAATTTTATTCTTATTTATCTATTTATTTATTATTTTGTGTTCTTGTACTATTTGATTTCTGCTTGAAAGGTTTTGTGCTTGTGGTTCTTGTAACTTGTATGCAATACTTGTTTAAATCTTAGAGAGAATAATAAAAATAAAACATTTTATTTATTTTGTTGTTTGATTCATGTGTATGTGGAGATAGATGAATTTACTATTGTTTTTGACAGTGTAAAATATGATATTGTATGAAAAATCAAAACAAACCTTCATTGTTATCTGTTATTGCTTGGCACATGCTATTGTTATTTATGTGAAATTCACCACATGCTTCTTTTGTTGGAACAATTAGCTTATTCAAACTTGTAAAACTGTGATTAATACCCTCTGAAACTGTGTTGTGTGTCTCTTACTTGTACATTCGGAATCAATAGATTATAACTGTAAAACAAGAATTTTCTCAACAAAAAAAAAACATGCTTTTGAAACCCCAAATCCTAAAATCCTAAACTGATCATAATTAATTCCCTTCAGCTAAACAAAACCCTAATGTCTATGAGCTAAACCCTAAATAGGAAAAGAATTTTGTAACCGAGAGAGTTTGAAGTTTAGGATGGTTGCTTCAATTGGTAGTTCAAGGGGGAAAATTTAACATGTCCTTGAGTTGGTTGGCTTAATATTAGTTTCACTTTCTTTAATTCCAAAATTTTATTACTCTAAGAAAGAATAATTATTTTAAGATTTTTTTTGGAATAATGTATACTAGATTTAATAATTTAGAGAACATCAACTGAGAAAAAGTAGTTAATGTTTTGCAACAGAAATGGACTCAATATCAAGTGGTGTAGGAAGCAAAACGAAGCCTTGTACCAAGTTTTTCAGGTTCTAATCTATTCCTATCTAAACAAACACTTCGAACTGCATATTTTCCGTTGTTAATAGTTTTATAAGTTACTCTTAAGATTTAAAAGTTTTAATGTCAAAATTCTTAAAATTAAATTTTGTAATTCTGCAAATTAACTGGGTATTCTAAGCTTTTATACAGGTACATACTGTTCACTGATCTAATCAAGTTGTAATGTAAGAGAATAATGGTTTATTAATGGAGTTCGATAAAGATAATAATTTGCAGGAAAACCCATGGCAATGGGAACACTATATCGAAGATAATTGATTATTAATTGCATTCATACACTTTGTTCCTTTATTAGTTTAAATGTTGCTTTTCATTTTAAGGATTAATGACTTCTTAAGCTTTACTGTGTTCTATTCCTTATGAACCTTACAATTGATAAGTTGTTTTCAAAATAAAACAATAGCTAAGTGTTGGATCAGGTACTATGTCCAAATTATGGTTGTGTATGTCTAGAATATAATTTCATGGATTTGTAATATTTTCAAGAGAGAACATTGGTGTTAGTCACCTATGACTACAACTAACTAGTTGCATCCAATCTCACATTTGGATTCCATCAAACTTTAGGTTAAAAAATTAGAGGTAAATCTGATAAAGATTGTTCAATATTTAATCCACTCGCACCGGATAGTTTTTATGTAGCATGGTGACTTTTTTAGTTCTTTTATTTTCAAAACAAATTTCTATTTAACCCAAAATGCTCTCCATAGATGTACATGGTATCAAAGTCCTTTACAAATTACAACTGTAGTTTTGTTTAAGATTTACATTTAATTGTGTGTTCTGTGTTTACCTAGGACTGAGGTGCATGTGTAATGATTATTGTGGTCGGTTATGAAATAGGAAATTCTTGGTTAAAAAATCAATATTATAGTTAATCTTCTATTTCCATAAAAAACCTATCTGTACTAACTTCAAACAGAATGTGCGTGATGCTGTGTGTTTTGCTCACCACATGCAACTGGTTGTTTGTGGTTGTGCTGTGCCCCAGCAGTATTCTTGTTATTCTTCTGAGCAGTAGCTATTTCGCTGTTGCCACTACCCTTGGCTGTTCTGTGGTTTTTGATAGATCTGTTATTGAACTTCTGTTCTGTTCTGATTAAGCTTTTCATTATGGATGCATTATGTAATTTTGCTTTTTTCATGAATGCTATTTTGATAGGATTTTTCAATCTGTATCCTGATGTCATATTGCTCTATCTCATAGTCATATATATCATATCTTTCTAATCCATTGCCTTCTAGCTCTTTCTTGATAGATTCTACTATTGTTTTCCTTAGTCTTCCTTTGCTTCTAGTAATTGGGCTACTCAGCATCTAATCTACTCTCCTTACTGCGGAGTCTATAGATCTCGTCACCTGTCTCCTCACATGCCTAAACCAGCCAAGTATAGATTCAACAATCTTTTCTTCAATAGGTGTTACCCCAACTCTCTATAATACTATTATTCTTAATCCTATATTGTCTAGTTTTTCCACACACCCAGTGTAGCATTCTCATCTATGCTCCACCAAATTTATTCTGGAAATTTGAATCCATGTGTAGTGGCATTGAAGTTTCTGATGTAAAGGATGCTGCATGGTGTTGGGGCATTTAAGCTTCTGATTAGAGGGATGCTGCATGGTGTTGGGGCATCTAAGTTTCTGATCAGAGGGATGCTGCATGGTGTTGGGGCATTTAAGTTTCTGATCAGAGGGATGCTGCATGGTGTTGGGGCATTTAAGTTTCTGATCAGAGGGATGCTGCATGGTGTTGGGGCATTTAAGTTTCTGATTAGAGGGGTGCTGCATGTTGTTGGGTTGAGCAAACACTAGCCCCATAGTCAAGCCTAATCGCCTGTTATGGTTGCTTTAAATGAAGACTTCTGCATCCTGTACTGGGATTCTTACTACTACTTCCTTCGTTTTTTAATTATAAGTCGTTTTGGACTTTTCAGACATAGTAAGAAGGGTAAATAATTTTGTTGAAAAAGAGAAATTAAGAGTGGTTTTATGAAATTGTCCTTCGTTAATGGTCTTGAAAAAATAAATTTAAATAATTGAAAGAAGAGAGACTAATAAATACTCAAGGGTATAAAAGTAAAATATCATTAGTGATCTGGTGATTAATGCCAGTGTTGTGATTTTAATATTTTTTTCTAATTTTTTGTGGGCATTGCTACCTTGCTGAATCTCTGCTTCATGTCACCTTTGTCTCTTTCCTGTGTTTAGTCAAGAATACCTACTATTAATCATTCTCTAGAAAATCTTGTTTTTGGGACTTTCTCATTTCTGTTATTTGAGCATAACACATTTATGGTAATAGTTCATTAAAGATTATTTATCCCAGTTTTTAGTTTGTTGCTTTATGTCTTGCCAAATAATACATGTCCTCTTTCCATGTTTGCATTTGTATATACTTCTTTTAAGAGGGAGATTATTAAGTTCCAACGTTTATTTTTAGTGTAGAAAACAGGGAAAAAAGGGGAAGATTGCGTTTTTGGGACTTTCTCATATCTGTTATTTGAGCATAACACATTTATGGTAATAGTTCATTAAAGATTATTTATCCCAGTTTTTAGTTTGTTGCTCTATGTCTTGCCAAATAATACATGTCCTCTTTCCATGTTTGCATTTGTATATACTTCTTTTAAGAGGGAGATTATTAAGTTCCAACGTTTATTTTCAGTGTAGAAAACAGGGAAAAAAGGGGAAGATTGCATTTTTGCAACAATATTAGTTTGGTACGATGATCTCATTTTGTTGTGCCATTCTGTTTTTTTTGCAGCATTGCTGGCTGCCCATTTGGTGAAGGCTGTCATTTCTTGCATTTTGTTCCTGGTGGTTATAATGCTGTTGCCCAAATGATGAATCTGAAACCTGCTGCACCTCCTAGAAATGTTGCCGCCCCACCACCTGTCTCTAACAATGGATCTGCACTGCAAGCTGTTAAAACCCGCATATGTAATAAGTTTAATTCTGCGGAGGGCTGCAAATTTGGTGACAAGTGCCATTTTGCCCATGGTGAATGGGAACTTGGCAAACCTTTTGTTCCATCAATTGATGATCACCGACAATTGGCACCTACAACAGTTAATCGTATGGCTGGTCGAACTGAGGCTCCCTCTGGTCTGGGCACTACTAGCTTTGGTGCCAATTCCACTGCCAAGATCAGTGTAGAAGCTTCCTTGGCTGGAGCCATCATTGGAAAGGGTGGTGTGAACTCGAAGCAGATCTGTCGCCAAACAGGAGTCAAATTTTCAATTCGTGACCATGAATCTGACCCAAATCTTAGAAACATTGAACTTGAGGGAACATTTGATCAAATTGCACAGGCAAGTAACATGGTAAAAGATTTACTTTTGACTCTATCAGTCTCTGCCCCACCGAAATCCGCCCCAGGTGGTCCAGGCGCCCTAGCTCCACCTGGAAGAAACATCAAGACGAAGCTCTGCGAGAATTTTGCTAAAGGGTCTTGCACATTCGGAGAAAGATGTCACTTTGCCCATGGAGCTGCTGAATTGCGAAAGCTAGGAATCTAAAATTGACTTTGGTCCAGTGTTTAATTTCTTCTTTCATTAGCCAGGGTATTGTTATTACTACATCATTAATTTATGTTGCTGTTGTTATTATCATCATCATCATCATCAAATGCTACTTAGTGGCACTAACATGACTTCTGATGTCATAGTTTTGTGGCTGTAAGTTTATTTTCAAAGCGACTTATTGAGGTTGCAAGTTAGTATACTTTTATTTCTTACAATCTCTTTTTCTTTATGTTATTCTTTCGCAATATTTGTTTTTACATTGCAAACTATCCATAAAATCAAACGTAAAGAGAGACCATATGTTTTTTGAAACCTTTATTCTATATAACCAAATTTTCAGTGATGAAATTCTAACACATTTCTAGCTCTCGTTTCTCTAACGCTGTCTTGTATCCTCATATATGTTGTCATCATATTAACACGCTTGAATCCTATAACATTCTCTTATCTACTATGTTTTTTTGCAGGATGAACTTAAGGCCCATACACCATAAGACTTCGGTGTTATAAGCTCTCTAATTTCATCTTAAGTTATCTGTTTCTTGTGAAAACTTATTTGCTGGATGGATTGGTTACTGGTGGATGAGGAACACAAAATGTTATCCAACCATGGTTTATTTTTGAAAGCACGATGATGGTGACTAACGGTAATGTCACCAGTTACATCAAGGATTTGTTCAAAACTTCAAAAGTTGTTGCTCTAGCTTTACTAATTATTACAAAAGACTGTGCTTTAACATTCTTAAAATCTTTCTCTGTTTTTTTTTTTACCATGTGATTGTTACCATTTTATGTTAGAAATGTTAAATTGATTTCTTCTATTTGCATTCTCTCGTGGTTGCTTCTTCTACATTTTGTTTCTCTCGCATACTAGAGTTTAAATGAGTTCAGTTTCTTTTTCTCCTACGGAATCACAAGGGACCTAACTAGCAGTATTAAGATGATGCTAACTGTTTCTACTATTCTCCATTAAAAAAATATAACTTCCATCAATTTTGAACCCTACTCAATCTCAAAAATCACGAAATATAGTTTAAAATTCTAGAGGTAAATCATATAATCATATTTTTATTTCTACGGTTTTTGTTTAACCCGATTGGTGGAGTAAAACATCCTACAAAGTCCCCTACGGTTGTTGTGCTAAATTAATTGAAAATTTTCATTTTTCACTTGTAATAATTTTAACACATATGTACTCCAAACTGCAATAAAAAACCAAAACTCGACATCACGCCCACACTTTGATTTATTTTATGAAACCAAACATTACAACTCTGTGGTACGAGATGTACTTTGAACAACATTTGATCCCATACCTAAAATAAATATACAAACCAACAGGCAACAACCTATGTAACCAGTAGACATTGACTAGACAGAAACAACATAAGTCACAAACCCATAACCTTAATTATTACACACAAATGCTCATGACCAATAATTTGGTGGCCCACGCCCTGGGATCCAGTTCCATCAACGTGGACAACATGGGCCTCGCTGGTAGCCATTTTATGTCGTTCAAAAAAAATATTTGAAAATACATGTCCGTATTTATATTAGGGTGAATTCAAAAACGCATCTCCGTAAAAAAAATATTTTAAAATTTAATGAATTTTACGAAGATGTATTTTCGTAATACACTTTTAGTTCAAATTACAAACTAGTAACATATGCAAAAATTGGAAGAAAAACATAAATTAACTTAAAATACGTCTTACATAGATAATTGTTAACATAAATTTAATTTTATATTTCATCAAGTCGTTGCAACATTATTAGAATATCTTCGGTCGTTCTTGCAATTGTGACATCCACTTCGATCAGACACTTTGTTTCGTAATTGTGCAATGTACTTCACATAACCTTTAAATTTTTATTTGTCTTAAGTCTAAACTTGTTGAATTGCATATTTTCTTCATTGTCAATCGAGCGTGAACGATACTCGAGTTTCACAACTCTTCGACTGTATGAGTATTGTAGAAGATTCTACATTATGGATTTTAGATTTACAAAAGACGTGTACTATATGACCCTAAATTCAAGTGAGACATTTGCACCATTGAAGTAGACAAATGCAACATGCCAATATATGCCCATTCTGGTGTGATGTGATTTTGTTAAATATATGAGATGAGAGGTCTATATTTATATAGGTTTTAGATCGATATGGATCTTAGAAATTCAATCTTGTTGGAGAGGATATTTCAGATATTTGTTTTTGAATACATCCTATTTTTTCTTCAAAATAAGAGTTTATACGAAGATGTTTTTCTAAATTATCCCTTGTTTGGTAGTTTTTGCAATAAAAATTTCACAAGCCCACTATTCATACATAACATGTTTTATGCACGAACAAAGTTGTTAATAGGTTGAAACAAAAAGTTTTTTTTTTTTTAATTTTAAAATTGACTCCTAATTTTTATATGATTAATGTTAAATGTACATTAGATATGTATCACATTGTACCAAAATTACATTGGTGACAACAATACATACAAAAAATGAGTTACAACCTGTTTCCCTTGAAAATCGGAAAACAACCGCTGATCTTCCAAATTTGACTTTGGTGACTCACAGGATCGATCAGATTGATCCTAGGACATGTGCTAAAGTATTCTACGTTTAGAATTAAATTTAAAGTACTTGTGATAACGAATTGGTAAATGTGCTTGTAATGAAAAAGACTTTGACTGGGTATTTTAAAGTGCATAAACTTAAAGAAACGCTGTAAAAGACTTGTAAAAAGGCTGCTCGAAAAGGGTAAAAAGTTTAAAGGGAAGAAGGAATTGGAGTAAAAGATGCAGGAAAGGTAAAAGGTAAAATGTAACACTTGCACAAGTGGTTCGACAGAGGAAATGTAAATGTTGCTGAAGTTGTAAAAGACTTTATTGAAAAGTTGGTGATTTTACATAACGTACATTCTCCGTGAAAATACTCTTTTCTCACACTCGGGTACTTTGAGTAAATTTGATTGGAGTTACTTTGTACAAATGGTAAAACACACAGAAATCTGCCTAACAAATCCCTATTTATAATGCTAATAATTAACCGCTAATAACTTCCTAGTATCTCCTCGATCTAACAAGTGTCATTTGCATGTAACCTCCTGCTCTAGAATTCGCCACGTGTCTTATGAACCAAAACTCCTCCCTCCAATTTTTGAATTTCAAAACGACGTAGCAATGCCATTTGCGGAATTTCGGTCGAATGACCTCTGACACGGTCGAAATGCTCATAACTTTAGGTTTCTTAATTTTTCTAAGTTATTTCAACCGTTCAACTTTAGAAAATTCCTTAGAGGCTGTCGAAACCTCTTTGCTTCATTTAACTTAGACATTAATTATGTCTTAGTGTTTTAGCAACCCAAGGCAGTGTCGAATTTGGGAGCTAACAAATTGCCCCCAAAGAATGTTCTTTTCGACCTTATTGCAGGAAAAGGACATTTTTTGATAGTATCCCATTCGACACCATCTTTTCGATACTATCAGACCCTTTGGTTTGCCTCTTATCCTTTGGAAGATAAAACAGAAGAAAGAGAAATGTTTATTAAAAACTGTGCCACTTTGCACGCTTCTGACGTCATCATCATCATGGCAGGTTTCTTGGAACTCACAAAAATTCAGAAAACATCATCACCCTTTTAGCGCCTAGGGGTATAGGTTACAACCGCCCCCTACTTCTTCCACTAGGTGGCACACGTGACCCACTAACTTCACCCACGTAAAATTCTTAATTTTCTGAACCCTTATAAAATCACCAAAGAAATTTTTCATAAGACTTTCTACTCTTTACAACTGCTTACTCTTCTCCCCTTTGCTGAAGAAACCCCTTTTTTAAACACCAGAAAAATCTCCTTCCTCTCTGGAAACTTCAATCATGGCTGAATAACAGAAGAAAACTCAAACTAGGAGACCATCTTCTTCATCTGCATTGCCACCTTTCGCTACTTTGAGCGGACCAAAAATCACGAAGAACCAACAGCTCATCAGGGAACCGTTAGCGAAAGAGAAACGACACATCTACGAATCTCAGGTAATCATCCCCGTTGATGTGGTTGGAAAAACTTTAGCCATGTCTGGCCCATTGTCACCCCCAAACCTTGATTATTCCACTTTGAGCGACTTTTTCCCTTCCTATCGAAAAATCAAACCCTTAGGGCAAAAAGACGCTAGCAAAATCCCTTCTGATAACCCAAATAACCTTTCTCTCTTCAATGTGGACCTTAAATATTTACATGATGGGGCAAGACTATTTAGAGCTACGCCGTACTTCAAATATTCTGAACTTTATCTTAACTGGTTGGCGAAAATAGAGAAAGCAAAGGCACAACATTGGAAAGAAATAGGTATTTATGACCTAATCATGCTGTCGAAGGTTGGACCACCTTACTGTCCGTTAATGTTGGCCTTCTCTTTGTATTTCTGGGACAGTACTCACTATACCTTCTGTCGCTTCCGCGAAAATAAGGTGTCGGCAAAACAGAAGAGTCGCCACCTTTCGTTATTTATCCCTCGAAATGGGAAAGGAAACGATCAGAAAAACCTGACGAAAAGGTATAAGACAGGGTCATCGCAACCATTGTCTGGGTTCGGGAGTCGGTTACGCAAGGGGAAGGTATTAGCACCCCTCACGTCCATCGTACTCGATGGGATCCACGCTTGTTGTGTTGTCTGGACGGATTGGTTTACTATCTACCTATCAAGGCTGGTCTGAAAAGAAAAGAAAATGACTCGGCAAAGCATCGCGCTTTATGCCTACGTATTCTCATCAGAGAATGAGAAATCAGAGTCAACGTAGTTCGACTAACTACGGGTTACGGGGAAGGTGGCTCGCCAATACGTCAGTATTGTGCCTACGTACTCTCAACAGGTATGAGAGATCAGAGCTTACGTAGTTCGGGATAAAGCGGAACACAGGTAGTTCAGACAGTTTTTTACCCGAGTAGGGTTAAACAACAGTTCCAGCAGTTAGGGACGAAGCCTGTTTGCGGTGGC